AGCAGGAAAATCACACCACTTCACATCATGTGGTCCAGACTATTCCAAGGGGACAAGCCTATCAAGGGGAATCTGAAGGCAAAGGAGCTGTGTGTGGAGACCCCGAGCCGTGAAGTTGCAGGTGTGGCCCTTCGACACCTCGGCCCAGGCTCCCTCATGAAGCCAGGAAGCTTCCCTCCACTCAGATCACTCAGAGCCGCCCCAGACCACGACCTCACAAAGAACAGAAATTGGTTTAGACAGAGATCAGGCTAAGAATCTTTGCTCCAAAAATAACACTTGTGTCCTACAGGGAAAGAACACTCAAGCTTTTTCTTCACAAAGCAAGGCTAAGGCAGCTTAAAAACAAAGTCATTCAGTATTATGCCAGAGTGTTTAAAAGGGGGGGAAAAAAAAAAAGAGAGAGAGAGAGAGGAAGGAGAAGGGGGAGGAAAAATACCTGGTGAGTCTTTTTCCAAACAAACAACCTGTAGCACACTCTGTCAAAACATCATCATGACGGCCGTGGTCTGCCGGACACGAGCCTGCTGACCGTCCCCCAGAGCAGATACACACTTGGCCTCATGCTACCAAGAATTATGTAATGAACTCGTGGGTGCCCTTTGGCTTTGCACTGCTGTGCTGTAAACCCTCAGCCCAATGGCAGAGGTGGGGGATCTGCACGAGGGACCACCGCTCGGAACCATACCATTTGCTTTGCAACCCACGCTAGAAATGTTGGGACTTTTTGTGTTCTTGGTATGTCATTCCAGGCCCACGTTTCTGAGTAGTGAAAAATCAGTCTGAGACTCTCTCCTAAGGAGGAAATGCCTCTTCCTGGGGTTCTTATGAATACAGTGGCAACAGGGCAGAACTTTGAGAAAATGGTAGAATTGTCATCACATGACTAACTTCAACTTATCGCTGAGAAAAGAACGTTTTTCACTGACGACCATATCTGCTATGAGCTGCTTGATCCCACTCGCACTGATACTTTCTTTTATCCCCGAGTAATCACTTAACCCAGCACTGTCCAATAGATAAATGCAAAGCCACATACGGAATTTCAGATTTCCTAGCAACCACATTAAAAAAAGTAAAAAGAAACATGTGAAGTTAGCTTTAAAATATATTTTACTTGGCCCAGTATATGCAAAATATTATCATTTCAATATGTAATTGATATAAAAATTGCTAATGGAATATTTTACATCTTTTTTGTGTCCTGAGTTTTCAGAATATGCTTCGTATTTTACACTTACCAGTTCTAGCCACACACATTTGAAGTGCTCAGTAGCCACATGTGGCCAGTGTCTACCTTTTTGGACAGCACAGACAAACCTTTTGGATGTAGCTTTGTCATTCATAAATAAGAGAAAGTTTTTCTTATGTTTTTTTTTTTTCTAATCAGAATACCATAGACCATCTGGGTTAAAAAAAACTCTCTTAGGAATTAAAAATGATCTGACTGATGAGAACAGAATTTAAATAATATCTGACACAAAGTTTAGAAGTTATAAAATGGTTATACATTGACCACCGGCCATTTTAAGCAGAGTACCATTATTTTCAAAGTTTTACCCACCTGAAAAAAAAAAAAGTCTATTTAAAATGGAACACTCTATGTGATTACTAACAGTTAGGGTCCAGGGCTTTTCCCAACTTGATGAAACAGTAATTTTAGGTCCAATTAAAGAACAGCACTGAATACTTAGCTTAGAAGCACAGCCAAGTGCTGGGCACATTCAGGATACCCTGCACCAAAGGGGAAAAATATCAGAAATCTTGGATTGGAGATGTGGCCCTGTGGTTACAAGCACTAACTCCAGCACTGCTTGGGAGAGCTGAGTCCTGGCTCTAGCGAGTCCTAGCTGTGTGACCTTCTGCAAGTTACTTAACTTCTCTGAGTCTCAGTCTCATTATGTGAAAACAGAGCTAATGTTGATTCTTCTTTTTTTTAAATTATAGTTTGTGTACAATATTACATGTTACGGGTGTATAATATAGTGATTCACAATTTTTAAAAGTTATACTTCATTTATATCAGTGTTGATTTTTGAGTAAGTTCTTGAGAGAATTAAATGCCAAATAGTGCCTGGCACAAAGAAGTGATCAAAAAATATTTGATAAAATACTTTTTATCAAAGTATAAAAGTATCACTTTTATTTTATTTATTTTAAAATAAATTTATTTATTTTAAAATAAATAAATAAATAAATTTATTTATTTATTTTTGGCTGCGTTAGGTCTTCGTTGCTGCGCGCGGGCTTTCTCTAGTTGCAGTGAGCGGGGGCTACTCTTTGTTGTGGTGCAAGGGCTTCTCATTGTGGTGGCTTCTCTTGCTGTGGAACACGGGCTCTAGGCGTGCGGGCTTCAGTAGTTGTGGCTCGCGGGTTCTAGAGCGTAGGCTCAGTAGTTGTGGCACACCGGCTTAGTTGCTCCACGGCATGTGGGATCTTTCCTGACCAGGGATCGAACCCGTGTCCCCTGAATTGGCAGGTGGATTCTTTTTTTTTTTTTTTAACATCTTTATTGGGGTATAATTGCTTTACAATGGTGTGTTAGTTTCTGCTTTATAACAGAGTGAGTCAGTTATACAT